GAGCCCAGCAGGTCGAGGCTGCGGTGACCAGGAGCGGCCACTGCACTCCAGTCTGGGTGATGGAGTGAGACTCCAACTCAAAACAAAACAAAACAAAAAAACTAAGGAGAATGCCAGACACAGTGGCTCATACCTGTAATCCCAGCACTTTGGGAAGCACAGGCGAGAGGACTGCCTGAGTCCAGGGGGTCAAGACCAGCCTGGGCAACTTGGCGAGACCTCATCTCTACAATAAATCAAAAAATTAATCGGGCATGGTGGTGCATGCCTGTAGTTCTAGCTGCTTGGAATGCTGAGGCGGAAGGATCACCTGAGTGCAGCAGGTTGAGGCTGCAGTGTCCGTGAGCATGCACTTATATTCCAGTCTGGACAACAGAGTAAGACTCTGACTAAAAAAAAAAAAACTAAAAAACAAGGAGCGATGATAAGCATTACAGGAATGTAGAAAAGTAAAAACAGAGCAACATCATGGAGAATATACTAGTCTGGGAGCTTCATGGAGGAGAGAGAACTTGAGCAGGAGATAAGCCAGAGAGGGAGGGGAGGGAGGTGCAGTGGGGGATCCAGGGCCACTATGACAGTTCAGTGTGATGCAGAAGGGCAGGGCTGTGGGGACTGACAGGCAAAGGCGAGGCAATTAAAGCTGAATCCCAAGCACCAGGATGAGGAAGCCATGTCCACATGAAAAGCAAATATACACGACTCTATTATTTTCTTCAAAAAGGCAGGGAACCAGCAAAAATCAAGGTTTTCAGATCCAACTGAGAGCTGTGTGCCAGATAGACTGAGATGGGGTTTACAGCAGACAGAACAGCTAGAAGCCTGTTACAGGGGTTTGTGAAAGAATCTAGTGTGTAAAGAGAAATGAAATGAACAACGTGAGAATCTAAGAATCATTCGCAAAAAACAAAAGTGAGTGACAGGATGAGGTTATCAGTTACAGAAGTAAAAAGTAAAAAGGAGTCAAAGACAGGTCCAAGCAACGGAAGTGGGGAGGTGCAACGCTAACAGACTGGGACCACAAAGGGGTTGTGAATGCTTTCATTTTGCACATAAAAACACCGAACCTCCACAGAGAGACGACCAAGCAGGAGAGGAAGGAGGCCAGAGGCTGGAGTGGCAGATGTGGGCTCAGCAGCTCAGGGGCCAAGTGGGAGAGGGGGCCTCAAAAATGGATACAGCTTCATGCCAAAAACTACCATTATCTGCCCAATCATCTGTTGTCTAACAATCTAACGGCACTTATTTTTCACAGTTTGGTGGCTGGAAGCACGAGATAGGGTACCAGCACGGTTAGGCCCAGGTGGGGGTTCCCTTCTGGGCTGCAGACAGTATCTTCTCCTAACTTCACACAGCAGACAGCAGAGGGCGCTCTCGGGGCCCCACTGTATAAAAGCGCTAACCTCATCCAGGATGGCAGGGCCCTCAAGACCTAATCACCTCCTGAAGTCCCCACCCTCCAACACCATCACATTGGGGAACAGGATTTCAACACATGAGTTTGGGGGGAACACACACATTCAGTGCATAACACCTATAAAACCGGATGTTTCAGAACGAGAGGTATAAATGCTCCAGGTGCATTCCACCCAAATTGCGGAAAACAACCCTGTTGAGCAGCTACAGGGCAGAGGAATTGCCTCTAGAACAACTTCAAGCCAAGACAATAGTTAACAGCGAGTATCAGACTGAAAGTCTTTACCACAGCACAAAAGGTGTGTGAACCACAGCCATGGTCCCCGATCTTTTTGGTATCAGGGACCAGTGTCGCGGAAGACAGTTTTTCCACCGGCAGTGGCAGGGGTGGGAGGGGGGTGTTCGGGATAACTCAAGTGCATAACACTCATTGTGCACTTTATTTCTATTACTCTCACACCACAATATACAATAAAATTATTATACAACTAACAATACAAAAAGGCATGGACAGAAGTAGTAAGTAAAATAATGGACGGGCTACATGTGGAATAAAATAAGTGTCGGACTCTGACTTAAAGCCTGTCACCAGATGCAAGTGAAGTAAATCGAGTCACCCGCCACTCACTGACTGGGTTTTGATAAGAGTCTGCGAGCAACTGATTTATGATGGTCTCCGTGCAGTCAAACCTCATTGCTCATGTTAATGTGTATTTGCAGTTGCTTCTCGGCACTAGCATCACCATCTCGGCTCCACCTCAGATCATCAGGCATTAGATTCTCATTAAGGAGTGAACCACCTAGATCTCTCGCATGCGCAGTTCACAACAGGGCTCGTGCTCCTATGAGAATCTAACGCCGCCTCTGATCTGACAGAAGGCAGAGCTCAGGTAGCAATGCACGTGAGGGGAGCAGCTATAAATGCAGATGAAGCTTTGCTCACCAGCCCACTGCACACCTCCTGCTGTGCGGCCCTCTTCCTTCCTAACAGGTACCAGTCCATGGCCCAGAGGTTGGAGATCCCCACACTACAGAGTATACACACAATTCCATTCTGAGGCTTAGGCTCAAATACAAAGGCAACGCTTTTGTTTCTCATTGTTTTTAGAAATGTTTTTCAACATTGCTTTATAACTGAATCATTTGCATTCCATACAGAATTTTGTTACTCAAACATCCAATGATAACATGTTTTTAAAATAATCCATAAAAAGATCTTACCATCCTTAGTACTGTCGAAAACAACAACTGAGACATTAGTAGAAGGGTTTTTTGGTTTTGCAACATTGAATATGTCACTGGCAGAATGAAAAGAAGGATAAACAGATGGCAGGTCCTTCAGGGTAACGTTGGCTGGCAGGGCTGGGTCCAAGACAAGCATTGGCACCTTAATGCAGTGTGTCAGCAAACATTCCAACTGCTTCTCACTGGAAAGAAACACCAACATGCTTACAGCTACATTCTGGAAATTTCATCAACAATGAGAAGCTTGATGGTATGACTAAATTTCCCAGATTTTTTTCCTATAGCCTATAGATTTTTTTTATTAAAAAAAACAATATTTTAATGAGGACTTTTATCTCATGAGTACAAAAACTTACTTCAACTCTAAAGACAGAGCTTTCAAACTCCAACTAATAAAATAAGACTGCCACCAATATTTGCTAAATCAAAAGTACGTACTAAATTAAGCACTTTATTATCATAATTTTTCAAGATTATTCATTAGGAAGGAAGTCGATTCAGTTTAACAGAGTGTCATGTTACCAGATACAACTTACCAATTCCAGTTAGAACATATTAGTTAAATACATTGGCTAGCCAGCCGTAGTGGCTCATGCCTATAATCCCAGCACTTTGGGAGGCCAAGGCGAGAGGACTGCCTGAGCCCAGGGGTTCGAGATCAGCTTGGGCAACTTGGCGAGACCTCATCTCTTCAATAAATAAAAAAGATTAGCTGGGCATAGTTGTGTGCACCTGTAGTTCTACCTACTTGGAAGGCTGAGGCAGAAGGATCGCCTGAGTCCAGCAAGTCAAGGCTGCAGTAGCCATGAGTGTGTCACTGCACTCCAGCCTGAGAGACAGAGTAAGACTCCGACTCAAAAAAAAAAGGACACTGGATATGATACTATCTTGATGTAAATAAAAGCAAATATGACATTCTAATATGAATTTATGAATATAAGAAACACCTAGAATAGGCTAGGCGTGGTAGCTCATGCCTATAATCACAGCACTTTGAGGAGGCCAATGCGAGAGGATTGCCTGAGCCCAAAAGCTCAAGACCAGCCTGGGCAACATGGCAAGATCTCGTCTCTACAGCAAATCAAAAAATTAGCCACAGCCGGGCTCGGTGGCTCAGCCTGTAATCCCGTGCCTTTGGGAGGCTGAGGTGAGTGGATTGCCTGAGCCCGTGGGTTCAAGACCCGCCTAGGCAGCAAGACCTCATCTCTACAATAAATCAAAAAATCAGCCAGGCGTGGTAGCGCACGCTTGTCATTCCGGCTACTTGGAAGGCTGAGGCGGAAGGATCACCGGAGCCCAGCAGGTTGAGGTTATGGTGGCCGGGAGGGGCCACTGCACTCCAGTCTGGGCGACAGAGTGAGACTCCAACTCAAAAATAAATAAATAAATAAAACAATATAACAACAACAACAAAAATTAGCCAAGTATGATGGTATGCACCCATAGTTCTAGCTACTTGGAAGGCTGAGACAAAAGGATCGCCTGAACCCAGGAGGTCGAGGCTGTGGGAGCTGTGATTGTGCCACTGCACTCCAGCCCGAGCGACAGAGTGAGACTCCAACTCAAAACAACAACAACAACAAAACCAGAATAAATATATTAACTTAACAAGCAAATGTATAGGCAAAGGACATGGCTAGAAAATTCACAAAGTAGGAACTACAATTAATTAAACAATATGTAAAATTGTTCCATCTCCTTAATAAAGAAATGCAAAGGAAAACAACGAGCTGTTACCTTTCATTTCTAAATTAGCACACTCAGTGTTAGAAGAAGTACAGTAAACCTATTCCTCTCAAACACTGCTGGTGTCACTCCAAATGACACCAACTCTTTGGGAAATTAAGTTGGTAATATATACGTATATGATGTATAGTACACATATATACATATATACTTAGAACCATAAAAACATATTTAAGCTTCTTCCTCAGTAATCTTACTTCTAGGAATCTAGTAATCTAGGGGGATAGAAACAAAACAAACAAACCTATGTACAGAAAATGCCACAAACCCAAATATAAGTATCATAAAATATTTATAATAGCAAAAATACAGAAATTTACTAAATGCTTAGTACATTATAATATAGTCACTTGATGAATTATTATGCAGTTGTTGAAACTGACAAGTATGAAGCATGAAGATAATGTATTAACATGATATATATTTACAATTATGTAAAGGAAAAAAGTAGAATACAAAATTGCACACAGATTATAAACTATAATCATTCAAATATACATAAAAAAGGAGTTTAAGACTGAATTTTTAAAATGTGGTACATATACACAACGGAATATTACACAGCCGTAAAGAAGGACAAAATTATGAACTTCACAACAACTTGGATGGATTTAGAGTCTGTAATACTGAGTGATCTATCACAGAAACAAAGAACTGAGTACCACATGTTCTCACTCATAAGCGAACCCTGAACAATCATCACAATACTATAAGAAAGGGACTGGCGTCCGGGCTCGGTCTCAGGCTCAGCCTGAGTAGATTGCCTGAGCCTGCAGGCTTGAGACCCGCCTGGGCAACTTGACGAGACCTCATCTACACAATAAATCAAAAATTAGCAGGGCGTGGTAGCGTGCACCTGTAGTTCCAGCTACTTGGAAGGCTGAGGCGGAAGGATAGCCAGAGCCAGTCTGGGTAACAGAGACTCCAACTCAAAAAAAAAAAAGAAAGGGATTGGCAGTAATGGGAAACCACCAGGGGAGCAGGTACCTGATCTCAAACCAGGTGACGTAGAGACCAAAGGGAGGCCCAAACTTTACCTGTACAGTGATAATTTGTATACCTAACCCTGAATAGTATCCCACATATTTAAAATAAAAAAAAGAGAAATAAAGGGAGTAATAAAAATGGTAATAGTTGTTAAATAAGAGTCAAAAAATTGTATAAGTTTCTTTTCACTTCCCCCTCAACTTTTCTTAAGGGTTCACCATTACTGTTATTTAAATAATTTAGAAGTCATTCTAAAAAAGCACTATTTGAGCCAGGTTCGGTGGCTCAGCCTGTAATCCCACACCTTGGGAAGCTGAGGTGAGTAGACTGCCTGAGCCCGCGGGTTCGAGATCCACCTGGGCAACTTGGCGAGACCTCATCTCTACAATAAATCAAAAATTAGCCGGGCGTGGTAGCACGCATCTGTAGTTCCAGCTACTCGGAAGGCTGAGGCGGAAGGATCACCGGAGCCTAGCAGATCGAGGCTGTGGTGGCCAGGAGCTGCACTCCCGTCTGAGTGACAGAGTGAGACTCCAACTCAAAAAAATATAAAAAGTAAAAAATAAAAAAAAATTAAAAAGCACTATTTGGCCAGGCAGTCAGTAGTTCATGCCTGTAATCCCACTTTGGGACCAAGGTGAGAGGATGGATTGAGCCCAGGAGTTCAAGACCAGCTTGGCAAACATAGCAAGCTCTTGTTTCTACAAAAGTAAAAATAAAAAATTAGCATGGCATGGTGGCGTGTGCCTATAGCCCCAACTACTCAGGAGGATAAGGTGGAAGGATCACCCAGTTTGAGGCTGCGGTGAGCCATGACTGTGCCACTGGACTCCAGCCTGGAAGCCTGAGACTCCAACATGAACACACAAAAATAAATAAATAAACACTGTTAGTATAACTTATAAATAAAGCTACATAATTAACATAAAGGCATGATTCAGAAGGCACTTCTAGATCTTGAAATTCGTCAAAATCTTCTCTACCCATAAGTGTTGTTTAAAGTCTGATCGTGGCCGGGCTCGGTGGCTCAGCCTGTAATACCAGCACTTCAGGAGGCTGAGGCGAGTGGATTGCCTGAACCCATGGGTTCGAGACCCACCCAGGCAACTTGGTGAGACCTCGTCTCTATAATAAATCAAAAAATTAGCCAGGCGTGGTAGCGCATGCCTGTAGTCCCAGCTACTTGGAAGGCTGAGGTGGAAGGATTGCTGGAGCCATGCAGGCCAAGGCTGCAGTGGCCGGGAGTGTGCCACTGCACTCCAGCCTGGGTGACAGAGTGAGATGCCAACTCAAAAAAAAAAGCCTGATTGTTAGGCCAGGTGCAGTGGCTTACACCTATAATCGCAGCACTTTGGGATGCAGAGGTGAGAGGACAACCTGAGCCCACAGGTTCAAGACCAGCCTGGGAAACTTGGCAAGACATAAATAAGTCAAAATAAATACAATAAATCAAAAAATTAGCTGGGTATGGTGGTGCATGCCTGTAGTTCTAGTTACTTGGAAGGCTGAGGTGGAAGGCTAGCAGGAGCCCAGCAGGTCGAGGGTGCGGTGGCCATAAGTGTACCACTGCACTCCAGCCTGGGCAAGAGAGTAAGACTTCAACTCAAAAAATAAAATAAAAAGTCTGATGGTTAAATGGGGAGGTGGAAGTTAACACAGATTTCTGTTTGTCAGTGAGACAGTCTTATTTTAAGGATCTATGAAACAATCTTATTTTAAAAGATGATTCAAAACAAGATAGATATAGCTGATTCTTGTCACTGGGCTAAATCCCCTTCCCAGGCCCTTAAATGTAAGACATACAAATTCACAGCTTTTAAAGATAAGGAGCCAGGCTCGGTGGCTCAGCCTGTAATCCTGCGCCTTTGGGAGGCTGAGGTGAGTGGATTGCCTGAGCCCGCAGGTTCGAGACCGCCTGGGTAGGTGAGACCTCATCTCTACAATAAATCAAAAAATCAGCCGGGCGTGGTAGTGCATGCCTGTAATTCCGGCTACTTGGAAGGCTGAGGCAGAAGGATCGCCAGAGCCCAGCAGGTCGAGGCTGCGGTGGCCGGGAGCGGCCACTGCACTCCAGTCTGGGAGACAGAGTGAGACTTCAACTCAAAAAAAAAAAAAAGATAAGGAAATATAAATTGACTATGTAAGTAAACGATGAACATAAATGTTATAAATGAAAGAACTGGGTTTAAGTTAGAGCTTAAGTGGACCAAGAGAAGAATGAACCAAGACTGATTAATGGGAATGATAGAGAAGGAAAATCTTGGTACTCTAATCCTTCCAAATGCAATAAAGCTCTGGGTAGCTAGAACATAAGTAACCAGAATTCTCAGTAAACTGTGCATTAGGCACTGCAAAATTTCCCATCTAACAGATGTTCCAAATTTGGGGGTCAAAAACTAACCAAGTTGGGTGTGGCAGCTCACCCACATAATGCCAGCACCTTGGGAGGCAGAGGCAAGAGGATTGTCTGAGCTCAGGGGTTCAAGACCAGTCTGAGCAACATGGCAAGACGTCATCTCTACAATAAATCAAAAAATTAGCCAGTCATGCCTGTGGTTCCAGCTACTTATAAGGCTGAGGTGGAAGGATCACCTGAGCTCAGCAGGTCAAGGCTGTGGTGGCCGTCAGCATTCCATTGCCCTCAAGCCTAGGCATCAAAGTAAGACTCCAATTCAAAAAAAAAAAAAATTAGCAGAAAAGAGACTGAATATGAGCAATAGAGTAAACACAAAATACTACATACCCAACAAAAACAAGTAACAATCTGGAAATTCACTTCAGTCCATCCATTTTTATTCTAGAGAGGAAGTCAAATGCTTACCTCTTCTTAGTTGGCTCCGTTGTGTTCTTCCCGAGGATTTCTCTAATGAAAAGTAAATATAGTTCATTATATATGTATGGGCTAGTGGTAGCCCCAAATGGGAATCAGGGACTCAGCATGTTAATGTTCTTGGTTACTCCACTGAAACTAACACACAATTAGCAGCTCTATAATGGCCAGATGTGGTGGCTCACGCCTATAACCCCAGCACTTTGGGAGGCTGAGATGAGAGGACTGCCTGAGCTCACTGGTACCAGACCAACCCGGGCAACTTGGTGAGACCTCATTTCTACAGTAAGTAAAAAAAATTAGCCGGAGTGGTGGCACGTGACTATAATTCCAGTTACTTGGAAGGTTGGAAGGATCACCTGACCACAGTGGGTCGATGCTGTGGTGGCCATGAGTGCGCCGCTGCACTCCAGCTTGGGTGACAGAGTGAGACTCCAACTCAAAAAAAAAGAAGCCCTATAATGCTTACAACACTTAAAATGCATAGTAAATTATATGTTATGCTCCAATGAAATATTACCAACAACATGTCCCTTTCACTATAACCATGATAGTTCACTTAAAATATAATACTTAGTATTTTACTAGTAAAACCCGGGGCCAGGTTGTCAGTCATTTTCGTGCACTGGGAAGGTCTTATAACCTCTAACACAGAGAGAATTTGTTGCAGTAGAAGGTGGCCAATGACTCCAACTGGGTTGCACTCCTTACATTAAAAAAGATGTTGGTAGAGTGTTCTCAGCAGACACTCCTGAAGAATAGGAGAGAAAGTTCCATCAGCCTGGTTCCTAGCTCTGAAAGCTCTCTAGAAGCTACTGGGGCAATCCCCTCGGGTCCCCTCCCCAATGTGGGAGCTTTTCTGTCCTCTCAATAAATTGTGCTTTAAAAAAAACCAAAAAACAAAAGAAGCCACTAGACCTTTCTTGGTTGATGTAAATAATAATAAAATGACCAGGCCGGGCTCGGTGGCTTAGCCTGTAATACCAGCACTTCGGGAGGCCCAGGCGAGCAGATTGCCTGAGCCCATGGTTGGAGACCAGCCTGTGTAACTTGGTGAGACCTTGTCTCTACAATAAAGAAAGAATAAATAAAAAAATAAAATAAAATGATCAAAGTCACATATGACATGGAAAATACTAAAATTTCTAATTCCATAGTCTATAATTTATTCCTAAAAGGGAAAAAAGAAAAATACTTTTTACTGCATTTTTCAAAAGATGACAAGTTTGTAGGTCTATTTTATTTTTCAAGGGAGTGAGGTATCCTACTGAGGCGCGATTTTCCATAATAAACCCTTATTTTTTTTTTTTTTTTTTTGAGTTGGAGTCTCACTCTGTTGCCCAGACTGGAGTGCAGTGGCCGCTCTCGGCCACCGCAGCCTCAACCTGCTGGGCTCCGGCGATCCTTCCGCCTCAGCCTTCTAAGTAGCTGGAACTACAGGCGTGTGCTACCACACCCGGCTAATTTTTGATTTATTGTAGAGATGAGGTCTCGCCAAGTTGCCCAGGCGGGTCTCGAACCCGCGGGCTCAGGCAATCCACTCACCTCAGCCTCCCAAGGCGTGGGATTACAGGCTGAGCCACCGAGCCCGGCTTAAACCCTTATTTTAAGAAGATACATACTAGGGCTCAAAATGAGCTAGCAGGAAGCCTAAGATTCCCTGGAAAGGCTCCCCTGCCTGGAGGCCCCTTGGAGAACTAGCCACCACTGGAGCATCACATTCATAAAATGACCATCTAACAAAACAAAGCAGAAGTGGCCCAGTACTCCTTGGACACCAGGAAACAAGGGTCAGACAGATGACCACCAGGATCTCGTAATGGCATGAATTGAGAGGCAGATTTGTGTTTGAATAGCGTTGTGAAATCAATTTACCTCTCTCAAATACATGTACTCTCAGGACTATATTTTGTTTTCTAAAAATCATTTTTGGGCCATTGCTTTACTACACTCTGGTGTGGCCATGTGCTCTCTTAGCTCCATGAGCTATTTGGCTCCCCCTCTCCTACCTCGGAGAGGAGAATCACTCCTCCCTCCCTCACTCATTTACTTTCTGGTCATTGCTTTGCTAATCTATAGTCTGGCCACATGGCTGCCATGCTTCCTAGCTTTGGCCCCTTCTCCTACCTTGGGGAGTGAATCTCCTCTCTCTCTAATTTACTTTCTAAATAAACTATATTTCCAAGCCGGGCTCGGTGGCTCAGCCTGTAATCCCAGCACTTTGGGAGGCCGAGGTGAGTGGATTGCCTGAGCCCGTGGGTTTGAGACCAGCCTGGGCAACTTGGCAAGAACTCATCTCTGGGGGGAGGGGAAGGGAGATGGGATTAACGGTCGTCAATATCTGTCTGGGGGATGGGGAGACACGCCTTATCAACAAGGGTGCTTGAACGAAGCATATTTGTATACCTAACCCTTAACTGTACCCCACAATATCATAATAAAAAATATTGATTATTAAAAAAAAATAAAAAAATAAAAATGAACTCATCTCTACAATAAATAAAAAATTAGCCAGGCATGGTCATGCGTGCCTGTAGTTTCAGCTACTTGGAAGGCTAAGGCAGAAGGATCTCTAGAGCCCAGCAGGTCAACACTGGGATGGCCGTGAGTGTGTCACTGCACTCCAGCCTGGCCGATGGAGTGAGACTCCACTCAAAAAAAAATAAACATGAAAATGAAAAATAAAATAAACTACATTTCCAATCTAAAAGAAAAAATCAATTCTGGATGGACCTGGTGGCTCAAACTTGTAATATCAACACTTTGGGAGACCAAGCTAGGAGGATCACTTGAGCCCAGTAGTTCAAGATCAGCCTGGCCAACATAGCAAGGCCTCATGTCTATTTCCAAAAAAAAAAATAGGCCGGGCTCCGTGGCTCAGCCTGTAATCCCAGCGCTTTGGGATGCTGAGGTGAGTGGATTGCCTGAGTCTGCAGGTTCGAGACCCACCTAGGCAACTTGGCAAAGAGAACTCATGACTACAATAAATCAAAAAATTAGCCAGATGTCGTAGCGTGTGCCTGTAGTTCCGGCTACTTGGAAGGCTGAGGCGGAAGGATCACCAGAGCCCAGCAAGTTGAGGCTGCAGTGGCAGGAGTGTGCCACTGCACTCCAGTCTGGGTGACAGAGTGAGACTCCAACTAAAATAAATAAATAAATAAATAAGTTTTAGCAGATCCTTTTGTAGTTCATAAGTGTGATGACTGGGTTTTCACATGCCTATGTAAGATGTGCCTCTCTCAAACCTTATTATGAGGTCAGCACATTACTCGTCTGAAGTGGGAAAAAAATCAGTTTTTACCTCATTGCTTTCTGCTCCTCCTCCATCTGTTCTCTGACCTGCTGTAGTTCCTTCAGGAGCTCGAGATCTGTGCCATTCACCCAGGTGTACACCACATCGATTGGCATGGGCAGACAGAGCCTAGGGACACCAAGAAGCCCTCCAGCTTAAATGAATCTTTCCATATATTTGGGGATAAGAATACAACAAGCAGCCAGGCTTGGTGGCTCAGCCTGTAATCCCGTGCCTTTGGGAGGCTGAGGTGAGTGGATTGCCTGAGCCCGCGGGTTCGAGACCCGCCTGGGCAGCGAGACCTCATCTCTACAATCAATCAAAAAATCAGCCGGGCGTGGTAGCGCGCGCCTGTAACTCGGGCTACTCGGAAGGCTGAGGCGGAAGGATCGCTGGAGCCCAGCAGGTCGAGGCGGCGGTGGCCAGGAGAGGCCACTGCACTCCAGTCTGGGCGACAGAGTGAGACTCCAACTCAAAAAAAAAAAAAAAAAAAAAAGAATACAACAAGCTTAAACCCAGAGATTCTGAAAGACACCACTAAAAAAGCCCTCTGATGACTTAGGCATGTTAAACACAGAACTGCATGCTTTCTAGCTGGAAATGAGGAGCTGATATCTGTCAAGTGCTTCCCTGAGCTGCATAATGTTGAACACTTTGTGTGATTTGCATCATCTGATTCTCACAACCACCCTGCAAGGAGGCTGACATTACTCCATGGTAAAGACTGCTTGGGGTGTAGTGGTCATGGAAGCTCAGTTTAGATCAAACTGCTACATTCTCTTTGCTCAGACAAACAGGGGAGCTGGACTGCAAATGCAGACAAACACAGAAAAGAAATTAGACGTTTAAAGGACAAAACTTTTAAAAAAAGTTCTCCGACAACCCTCCGACAAAGCCTGGCCCCGCTCGACGCTGCAGCCTTCTCATACTCTGCTCACCAAGACCGCCCTGGCCTCCTCGCCTTTGCTTTCCTTTTTCATAGCACTTACCACCTTTCTTACACTTAAATAATGAGCTACTTACACTGCTAACTATTTGCCCCCAATAAGCTCCAAGAAAGCAGGAAGCTTTCCTGCTTGGTTCCCTAAAGCATCCACACAGTGACAGGAGTGACTGGCACCCCAGTGCCCAGTGGATGTTTGCTAACATGCGGGACACTAGGACAGAAGCCCTTCCCAAACCGGCACCATTTTCTTCCTGATTATCTTGTCTTATCCTTATAATAAAGAGGTAGGCAGATTTTTAGGCTATTTATGCCTTACCTTGGTGATTTTGTCCAGATTTTGCCCTTGCTAAAAGCATTCTTCCCTCACTGACTTACCAAAAACCTACCTGTCTTTCAGGGCCTGCTCTGGACCCATTCACTCTGACCTATGATACAGGAATTCCCGTATACATATAGGTATTCGTTTACCTTAGATGGTTCTGTTTCAAGTTTGGTATTTCTCAAAACACTGCACAGCTTTTTGTTGTTTGGCTTTTTGGGTTTTTTTGGACAAGGACCAAAGCTTACCCTCCTCTTGTCCTCCCTGCACTCCAGGCACAGAATTAGGATTTTGGTTGCAATCATATGAATTCAGTTTTTATCCAGTCGCCCTATATTGATTTTATATAGGTGGTTAATTATCTCACGGAAAAATAAATGAAATTTGGTGAATAAATCTTTCAAATTATGGAAAGAAAATAAATAGAAGTGACAACCATTAGCTTAAAAAAAAAAGTAGATGAGGCCAGGCTCAGTGGCTCAGCCTGTAATCCCAGCACTTTGGGAGGCCAAGGTGAGTGGACTGCCTGAGCCTGCGGGTTCGAGACCCGCCTGGGCAACTTGGCGAGACCTCATCTCTACAATAAATCAAAAAATTAGCCGGGCGTGGTAGCGCACGCCTGTAGTTCCAGCTACTT